AACTATCATAGTCCGATAGTCAAGGAGCTATCAAAGCGCTGAGCTCTTACGTAATCAGCTCAAAAATTGTCTGGAGATGCCTAGAACCATTGAATGAGCTAGGCGAGAAGAATAGATTTACTCTCACTTGGCTCCCGGGAGATAACGGGGTACAGGGTAACGAGATTGCAGATAGTCTTGCAAGGAAAGGGACTTAAACACTCTTTGTAGGACCTGAGCCGTTCTGCGGTATCAGCAGTAACACAAAATTCGGCGAGATTAAAAAAGAATCGGGCAGTAGAAGAACCGATAATTGGAACAATCTCTTGGGGCTGAGACAGGCCAAGATACTTCTGGGTGAATATAACCAGAAGAGATCGGAAGCCTGCATCTGCCTCAGCAAGAACAGGCTACGTATTGGAACAGGGATCCTTACCGGGCATTGCCGACTAAAAGGGCACCTAAGTAAACTGAGAGTAGTAGAGGATAGTGAGTGCAGATTCTGTGCGAAAAAGGACGAAACCTTTATTCACATCCTAATTGAATGTGTAGCACTCCAGAATCCAAGGGCATTATATCTAGGAGGATATCAAATAGAAGAGGGAGATTTACCTAACTTGAAGCCACTTTCTTGAGGAAATAGGATTGAAATGGTCGTTATAGGCATTGAGACATTTCCTAAGTACATTAGCGATAAAAGGGGACACAATAAATATTTTGGGTCGCAGTGTATTAACACCCCATTTTCAACATAACATAACATAACATCTGGCTGGCTCTCAATATTGGAACCTTTTCATTAAAATTCATTTCTCATCTGATAACTTAAATCAACAATTCAGTGATCAGACTGCAAAAGATAGTGGAAGCGAATGTAAGCAGTCTCATAATATAAATGTTCTCCTTCCTATCGAAAATTCACTACTATATACTCAAAATAGAAAAAAGAACAATTGGCGCCCCTTTCTACCAGAAAACTATTATCAACGAAGGTGTCTATTAGAATTCACGACTGAAAAAACTATATTTCTTTTTAATTTAATTAAAGGTAAGTAATGTTTGATGTTAAATTTCTATGAGCTAGTCAAAAAAGTAACGTCAACATATTACAAAGGGAGGTATAAACACTAAATATTTTTTCCCCATCAACGTGTAAAACCGTGTATTACGTATTACGTGTATTACCACCACCAGTTAAAGTCTGGCTGAAGGTCCAACCCATGGACGGAACACTTTTTACTATATAAAATTTTTAAGACACTTCGAAATAAACGCAACTGACAACGGAATATTCGTTAATGATTGAATTTAGTTTAACCACTATCCTTATTTGGTTTGTAAAAACGGTAATTGGTCAGTTCTCAAAACAATTACATACCTACTAACTCCCCATTATTTATTTAACTTTCTCTAATCTGTCTGGAATTATAGGACTCGATATCTTAAACAATAGTATTCTTGTCTTCAAAGTCTGGTAATTTATTTGTAACTCTATATCCCATTATCGCTAATCTCCTTAATAGACGTTTAGTACAGAAAGTCAGGTGGTCAGGCAAGTAAATTTTATTTATAAGTACTTTAAATTCTAGGAAATTTTTTATTATAAAAATAGTTTTTCATTCAAAACTGTTAACAATTGAAATAGAGAGCCCTCAATTATAATATTATTAAAATTTATATTCTTTATTATTTCATGAGAATATATATTTTAATCCGGACCTGGGAATCTTTTAACCAACAGACAATTTTATTGCTTATCTACAAATCGAACAATAGTGATAATGAGAGTCGTCGGCTAATATGATTTATGAGTCACTAGATCTTTGGTTTTACTCTACCTTTATTTTTTCTGAAATCCTGACGATATAAATGGGACCTTGTATACAGGATGTTTCAAAAAGGTATGTCATAAATTCTTCCTCAGATAGATTATCAAAAAATAAGTGGATTTGGCTATATTTACCTGTATTAAAAACTGGCTCCCTACTAAGTTACAGGGCGTTAAATTAAGATTCAGAAAAATGTTTTTTTTTTGTAAAAAGTTTGCTGTTGCGTTTTTTTCTTTGAAATTTTTGCCAGTGTTGTAAATTTACAGGAACAATATTCTAATGAGAAAAGAAATTTAAGCGACCCCTTTAAAAAAATTTGGATATTTTAACCCCCCCGTATTTTTTTTGACATAAAGAAACTTGCTTTATTGATCTTAAAATCAAAAAGAATTATACATTTTTTTTATAGTGAACTTTGTATCTTTCTTAGTAAACGAGCTATTTACAATTTTTTAGCTAAATTTCTAGAGCAATTTGTCCGTTCTAGACTTAACATATCAACAAAACTAAAAGTAGGTTACGAGTTATTGTACAAGAAACACATATAAAAATCAGTGGTGTGTCTAGAGCTATGCTTGAGCCGCCCCTACACAAACTACCTCATTTATTTATATTTTTGTAAAAAAGGTATTTATAATATTGGATTGGTGACATAAAAATTGTGTGCCACCCGTCATCATGGGTTCACCATGCCACTGATAAAAATACACGTTAGTTTGGAAATGTATTTAATAAACTTAATAGTCATTAAAAATAGTATGGTCCATTATACACGAATTGAATACTATACTTTATCTACAACTGAATACAGGGGCTCACCGAAAACGAAAAGGGGATTTTTAGAAAAAATTCTTTGAAGTTGTTATAAATAGAATTGACAAAATTGTTCACAATTAAAAGACCTTTCAAATGAGGAGTATTTAAGCCACCGTGTGAAATAAAACCCCAATTTATACAGCAACTCGTTGAAAGTTATTTATTGATGTAATTAATAGTAACATTACAATTTGAAATATTAATAGCTCCGGTAATATCATTAAGATTATTGTTTTTTAAAGAAAAATTAGTATTGCTATTGATGAGTACAGAATCATGACGATCACTGTCAGAAGATGATGGATTATTAAGACCAACACAATTTTCATTATTGATTTGACTTAAAGTTGCTTGAGCTGTTTCTATTTTGTTCTTTTTTGAATTGGCGATGTACCCTTCTGCTGTGGAGGCAGATTTCCAGCTTCCATGACGTTTTAATGTTGTCATTGAAGCTCCAGAATCAGCAACCAATGTTGCAGATGAACGCCTGAGGCAATGGCCAGTATATCTCTCAGGGTTTGGTAATTGTAAAAACGTAGCAATTTGCTTTCCTATTGCGCTAAACTTGTTTATTCCTATCACTTGTTTTGTACACTTTCCTTTTTGGAAATTGAGAAAAAAATCTTGTGGTGCATTTTCGGGCCGATGGTCTATATATTTTTTAACGATTTTGAAAAAATTATTCACAATTGTGAAATTACTTGGGACTTTGGTTTTTGTGTGTGGCACGTTTACTTGAAAACATCCCTCAAAACATCTTAAATTACCAATTTTCATGTTCTTTAATTCACAGGATCGGCAAGCACCCATGCCCCCATAATCAAGGCAACCTTAAAAAATGTGTAGATTAAGTTAAAGAATTTTGATTTTCGATTCGAGTTTTTACCTTTGTTCCAAGATATTAAAAATCTGGGGCTTCCTTTATAAACCTCTCAATTTGTTCACCAGTCAGAGCTTCAGATTTCTTAGGTTCGTAATTTTCGGATCGTCTTTTCAACAAAGCACGTAATCTCAGATATTTAACAATGTCGACATTGTTCTTGATGCTTTTTAGCATGAAATAGTTTGTCCATAAAGTAGACGATTTGTATTTACTAGAAATTTCCATAAAATATACAAGCACGGTGTCTTCGGAAAACGAGGATACATTTTTTGTTTGTTTCCACGAAATAAATTTGTTGTATGCAATCTCATAATTTTTCCTCGATATTTCAGGTAATAATTCCAACGACACCACTTTAGCAGCGTCGCGGATTTCAGGAGGTGTTAGTTCCATGTAATCATCGTCTTCCATTTTTTTAATTGATAAACTCTTAAAACGGGCTTAATATTTTAAGTTTAAATTCAAAAAAGAATCGGGAACAACGAATAATACTGTCAACATGCTGTCAACTAACTTGTGAAACGCATACTACATCTAATGATTTTTACTTCTAGTGGGGTATAATTGACAAAAATCGTGTAATATGAATATATTCTCACTAGTGATATATGGATTGCTTTATCTTGCCTTAGATACGCATATAATACATCCATATAATGACAGTTGTAGATAAAAATATTTTTTTAATTAAACAATTAACAAAAACTTAACAAATAAAAATAAATACTTGACAATAATTATTATACATATTTTATAAACTATTTAATTTAGTAAATGTCCAACATGTACTCCTCCTTCTTGAATACAAAAATATAAATAAAAGAGGTAATTTTTGCAGGGGAGGCTCAAGCACAGCCCTACAAACTCCACTGATTTTTATATGCGATTTTTGTACAATAGCTCCTGACCTACTACTCTTCGTTTTGTTGATTTGTTAAGTCCAGGACGGACGAATTGCTCTAGAAATTCAGTTAAAAAATTGTAAATAGCTCATTAACTAAGAAAGATACAAAGTTCATTTCGGTATAAAAAAAATTATAAATACATAGTTCTTTTTGATTTTCAGATCGATAAAGTAAGTTTCTTTATATATACAAAAAAAATACGAGGGAGTTAAAAGGTACCCAACCCCCAACTTTTTTTAAGGAGGTCGCTTTAATCTTTTTTTTTCTTAGAATATTTGGCCCTCAAATCTACAGCACTGGTAAAAAATCGCAACAGCAGAGTTTTTACAAAAGAAAAAGTTTTTTTGAATGTTATATTAACTGTTAACTGTAACTTTATTAGAAGTCAGTTTTTGATATAGGTAAATATAGCCAAATCCACTTATTTTTTGGTAATATATCTGAGGAAAAATTTATGACGTACCTTTTTGAACCACCCTGTATATTAGGTGCGTAGTATTTACAATTCCAAATAAGTTTTTATTTCTGACGTGTATTCTAAAGCACACCCTTCGTTATTTGACTAATATCTTTGTTATATTTGCGTAGGTACACCCAAACTGCTAGTTAACCCTCCCACACAATCTGGTAATGAGACTGTTAGAGATGCTGCCATTCAAGTTTTCAACTGCATAAATAAAATAAACAGATTAGTAGACAAAATGTACGGTACATCCAATATGAGTCTGGAAGAGGCAAACGAAGTGAGCGTTGTTAACGAAATGAGAAGTATAGAACCTAGCATGTCCGAGCTCAAAAAGGAAGAGGGAGTGGGATCTAAAATACTTGGTTCATTTTATATTGGCGATAGTGCTTCTCCATATAGAGACTTTTTACCAGAAAATGAATTACTTGACTATTTAGTGTCATCACCATTTACTCCTGACTTAATGCAATATTTAATAATATCAAGAACGGTCTTACAAGAAACTGAATATAACGACAGAGTATGGCCTGTACCTGCAGATTCCGTCCAGTATGACGTTTTTGAAACTATCTATGATAGAGATGTTGTCATGCCCATATCGGGAAGACCATTTACCAGAAAAAAAGAGGGATCAAGTGAGGACGTTGATGAATACCTTGAAGACGAAGAACATATTGAGAGCAATACATAATCATTTACTGACAAAAATTAAAAAGCGATATCTAGAAGATATAAGGAAATAAGGTAAGATTATTTACTTAATACATATAAATAAAAGTAACTTCACTTGGTTCAGTTTAAATAAAATGAAACTATTTGTTTTTTTATACACACTAATAAAGTTTTTTACTTTTTATCTACTTCAAAAAAATATTGTTCAGCTAATATGATACAAGCTAGACTGGAACCCACTAGCTGGCACTATTCTGTATACATTGTATGAATTTAAGAAATCTATTTTTATGAATAATAATGTAACGAGTAAATTTTACAGAACTTTAATGCACGAGTCGCATATTATGAACTAAATAAGTAGACATAGTGAGTTTAATCCTTGATTTAACCTGTTAACGGACCAATAACATCTTTAAATATCTTTTTTTCTAAATCCTATCCTTCTACAGCTTTGGTTACCCGCCCCTGGATTGCATTGTTCTGTTGAAAGATTGTGAGACGATTGTTATTGTCAAGGGTGTTTAGTAAACAATTTTTGATGGCTTACTTGAATAATGTTTAAGGCTGGCGATCGCCAATGTTAATTCCCGGTATATGCAGAGGTTATTTTCGACAAAGCATTCGAAAACAGTATACCTCAAAGCATTAATTTCAATAGTAGACGAATATTTGACATAGTATTATTTAGCGAAACATTAGTATCTTGATATCCTGAATCTATATTTAAAATAATGGCTATACCTTTAATTTATTTACACAATTGGGATGCAAATCCAAAAAGTATCTGCTATTACGTTATCAATAATAAATTATACACACGAATTTGTTGAAGCCGACTAAAATAGTTTATGCGGGTTAATCCAACATAAATTCAATGTTTTATAAAACAAATTGTATACGCCTATAATGTAAACAGATATATTAATCAAGTAAGGAAGGTGTATGGGAGGTATATTTTATAGTATTTGTTGTGGCACTGCTTAGATTTTTTGAATTTTATGTATGTAGGTATAATATGTAAAATTATTTGAGTCCATTGACTTTTTTTGCATAGAATTCTAATAGTTTTTTGTACCTATTACATATTTGATCTGTTTTCCCGTTTTATTTAAGCATGGCACCATTGATTCCACAAAAGTTAGCCGTTACATCTTACAAAACATAAACTTAGTAACATTATCAAAATAAAATTTGACCTCTCATTTTCATATGTAATATGCATATACATACACAATTTGATTGATATAAGTTGGTGCATTCCAAAGTTTGTGTTCTTTACGCGCTTGTTTAGATTTTTTGATTTTTGCTAAGAAAGTTAAACTGGTTTATCTTTATTTTAGCATACTTTAATTTAAACTTTTTATGACATGAAAGGTAATTTACAAACTAGAAATGAACTTTTCAAATTTCTTCCCAAAACGATACTAATGCCGGGCCTGCTTATGTAAATTTCTTGTCGTTCGGAGACTTAAAAGCAGAAGTAGAAAACTATTCGTCGATGGTTAGAAATTTTTAAATTCCTCTACTCACTGCCGGGGACCGCCACGACTCTGGACATCTACTTTGCGGAAAGTTGTACCGTTGTATGAACGTTGTTTGAAGATAATATAGTAGGATAATGCAATAATAAAAAGTGTTGGATGCAATCTCGAGCGCCATCTACTGATGACTTAATGAAGTAGTCAATTTTTAATGCTATGCAGATACGTATTCTTTTCGATGAGGCACGTGGCCTCTACTATGTATCACCTACCTATTAAAGTTAAAAACATATTTATATTTATTTAAAAATAACAATTCATGATAAAAGTCATAATAATTAAACATAATAATGAAAATTTAGTCCAGTTGACAAAACCGTACAAGTACGAATACAATTTTTGGATGAAGGTGATAAAAAAAGTGGCTAAGGACTTAGGTCAATATTATTTATGGTTATGTGCGGTTATGTCAATGTATATAAACAATAACAACTAATAACAATGTCCAATGTTTTAAATAAATTGAAAAGTTCCAAGTAGAATACAAAAAAGGAATAAGCTTCTGAAAATGTTGCATGTAATTTAAGTACCTCTAATTGGACCCAACAAGCATCTTTTACCAATAACTATGTCTGGACTAAGTGTTGGAAAAGTTTATACCCATAAAAATAGCTGAATATTTTTATAGTTTTTAAAATTCGAACAAGCTTTGCTACAAAATTTCATCAAAGCTATCAACAGTTTGCAAGAAATTAAGTTAAGGAACAAGAAAATCACTAATTAGGGAAAAATAAATCCCGAACACTGGAAAACAAATTAAAAAAAATAGCAGTCACAGGGATATATTAGTGACTTCCAAATGTATCTTGGCTGTTGTTAATGAATATTAGAAAAAATATTCTCTCGGCTGGCTCTAAGTGTTGAAATAAATCACTTTGAAAGAAAGTTTTCAATAGCTCCGCTCTTTGATTAGGAACAGCTCAATACAAAATCAATAGAACTACAAGTGGTCTATCTGTGGCAGACATTATATAAAATAAGGTATTTCGTAACGTGTTACATACAATATTTATTCTAATTTTGACTAGATTATTTTTAAACCTAGCTGTATAAATAGTTATTAAGTCATTCAATAGATAACAAAAGAACGAGCAACTTTTTGTAACTTATTATGACCCAGCGTTACATTTATATAAAGGGTGCATATGGTGACTGGAGCCGGTCTGTACTTTTATTTGCTCGGAATTCCATTTGGCGGCGCTGGTAGTGGATTGCCAAATAGTTCAGTTCTTAAGAGACATTTATTGTTTAATGTGCTTGTGTCGATTAGTGGCATTACAACAGAGTTGAGTTTTAACTATGAAGACTCTAGTCTTCATAGTTTTAACTAATATGGATTACGCTGAAGTACGGCATCCGATTCTAGTAAGTACTGTTATAAATGATTAATATTATAAAAAAATTAATTTATAACAAAAACGAATACAAGAATGTGTTTTATTTATAATTCAGAACGTGGATGATAACTGAGTCTCAGTTAGGCTTTGTGAACTTTGAAGTTAGCATTACACTAGGTTTTACAATAGTCAAAAATAAAATATTTTGTTTTAGAAGGGGCCTCACTCTTCAAGAAGCTTTAGAAATTGCCTATAATTACCAAGCAGAGCAAATTTTTATTGAACCACCAGACAGCAACGTGCTTACGGATGAGGATAAGGATGATGGAGGAACCCTTGATAATCTAAGCGGAAATCAGCTTAGATGAAAGGTAGAAATTGTTGAAATTTCCCAGTGTAATTCTCAATTATTATTATTAACTTTACTCTGTATATTGAATGTGTTTGCTAGATTTTAATATGTCTTTGTTTTTGACAGTGATTTGAAACTATTTTTGATTATTAAATATATGTTTGTCAAAGTCTCTTAAGTTATTACCTCAGGTAAATTCAACAGGTTATGAGCCCAGACAACGCTATAACTAAAAGAAACTAGACACAATATTTTGCAATTAAATTGCATAAAATACAGTTATGGATAAGTTTCCAAAGATATATAAACTTCATGGATTATCTAACTTCCACTCCTGGCGAGCAATGGCTTTTGCTTATATGGATTTATATAATCTGTACAAAATAGTCAATGAAGAAGAAACGAATCCTTCACTAAATGTTCCAGAATTTGATACGAAAGATTCAAATAAACATGCAGAAGAAAAAAACAATTATGTTTCTAAATGTGAAGACTGGAGGTATCGTCATTCCTTATCCAGGGCTTTTATTCTTTTCAATGTGGATACGAATATCGCTTCTCAGATCACTTGCTACACAGATTCTTGGGATATGTGGAGAGTTTTAAACGATCTGTTTGACCGAAAAAATGAATACTCTCTTCACGCTCTTGTAAAATCAATAGTTGGGATTAAATGCGAAAATAAAGTCAAAATACAGGAACACATTGCTAAATACAATGAATTGTGGTCACGGTTAGTAGAAAGGACTTCAGTTACTTCCAATGAAGAACGCGATTCCCTAGAAGCTGCACTACGTCCGCTAGCAAATTCAATGAAGGCAAAGGGATCACTTTTTCTCACAACCTTACCAGAAGAATTAGATAACATAATAGATAATCTAAAACTAAACAAAACTTAACATATGATGATGTATGCGCACGATTATTAGAATTGTCTACAAAAACTAATACTATAGCTGAAGATCAACAAGCATTCTTGGGAAGAAATAAAAATTTTAGAAGATATAATACAAAAGAATGCACGTATTGTAAAGATAAGAAAAAATGGTATAAAGGACATACAATAATAACTGCCGAAATAAAAAAGAAGATGAAAAAACAAATAATACAGTATGGGATTCAGAAGATGACGAGCATGCCTATCCAGCATTTACAACCAGTTCTAAATCAAACAGATGGATATTTGATACAGGTGCAACTTCTCATATGTCTGGAAATAAAGATGCATTTTGTAATTTTCGTCCCTACAACAGTTTTATTCGACTGGGTAATGATAAAAAGATTGAAGTTACTCATATCGGAGAAGTTAAACTTAAAGCTATATTACCTGATGGTTCAACTCTGAATGTCAGATTACACAATGTCTTGTATGCTCCAGAATTAAAGTGTTCACTGATGTCTTGGGAAACTATCAGAACAAATGGAGTAACAATGAAAGGTGATAAAGATATAACATTATGGAAAAATGGACGTATGATTGGGTGGATTGTATCTCAATTAAAAGAAAATGTTTTCCAGGAAGCTGAGTTGCAATCATCTAATTTTAGTAATGCCTCAGAAAATATAACTAGTTGGCATAGACGATTGGGACATCTTCCTATAAGTTCCTTCCGAGATCTTAAGTGCGCAGTAGCTGATCCTAATGTTATTTCGAATATTAAATCCATCATAATAGACTGTAAAGCATGTGAACTTTCCAAAATGACTAGAAGAATAACAAGAGAGCCTGGAAATGTGTGTCAATACTTGCTAAAAAAAATTCACTCTAATATATGTGGACCATTCTCAACGAAATCAATAGGTGGAAGTCTATACTACATCTCATTCATTGATGAATAT